ACTTTGATCTTTACTTTTCACAACATCCCTAGTTCCTCCTTCAGGCTCTAGTTCTTCTCCAGATTCTCATACTCCTGCTTCCTAATGTTGCTGTCACTTGGCACTGCTACATCTATCATCACTGCTGTTTTCTGGTCCTTGTCTACTACCACAAGGTCTGGATGATTGCCTAGTACCTACTTGCCTGTCTGTAATTCTCACAGGATTGTAACCCTCCTGTTTCCTATGACCTTCTATGTAATCTCTCCTATAGGGAGATGACCTGATCTGTTCAATATACAGTATTGTGCAGAAGTTCCTGTACATAATGCCAGCTACTTGGTTGTGCCATTTAATGTGTGCTGTTCTTACCTATATCATATAGCCTGCAACTATGTGTCAAACTGTGAGGCCTCTACATACTCTGTACCTCAAGTCCTATCTAGTGTGGTAGACCTCTGCTTCTACAGAACAGGTACCTAGTGCTGTAATTTTGCTGTTATGATGAGTATCTCCATGAGATCTTTTAGTCTAGCCCTTTCCAATATATGCTACCTCAGCTATCTGTTGATGGCACATCCTAGGCAAGCTCTGGTTTAATCATGCTGTTTCCTCTGCTTAATCTTTCATGCCTGCTCTTGTGCAGCCATTCTCTCAGCAGTTCTTCTTTGGGTGCCATCTCACTGATATACTCTTGGATACTCTGGCCAGTGCTTTTAACACTCATCACCCCTTGTCTGCCCTCTTTCTGGTTGGTGCTTAGTCTCTGGGTGTGGAACTTGGGATGAAAATTTCCATAGATGGTGAGGATTTGCAAAACAGGTGGTAAAGAAGGATGATTAAAGAGAGCTACTGTATCTTCTAAGTATAATATATTCCTTCAAGTTGCTTTATTTCTTTTGGAACATGGGGATGATTATATTTAAATCTATACAGATGTTTTGACCAAATATAGGAGATGCTCTTGAAAAAAAAAAAGATATTTTGAGGATTTTTTCCATTAGTCTAACTGTAATTCCTACTTTGAATATGTTGCATAAGAATGCCAGTTTTTCTTGAAAAGTGTAGAATATTTATATTGAAAAGCAACACAACTAAAAGCAATATCAAGTTTTGATCCATAAGAACATCTCCTATAATCACAATCTTTGATTAAAAATATGAATACTACTTAATATGGTTTTCAGTTTGTTGCTAAGAAACTGCTGCTTCATAGTTTCATTATTATCATTTGCAGAAATGTTTTTGCTTCCTTGTATCTTAGTGACTTCTCATTATGAAAGGGTAATATGAACGAACATGAAGTGAAATAAGAAACCACTTTATTTAATTTATACCTTTATCTTGGTTCTGCTGTTAGTTTTTTTTTCTAGGACAACATGCAAGAAGAAAATAGATACAGAAGCAGTTTTCTCATCCTGAAAATAACTGAACTTCTAAGAAATATAGTGATGGCAGACAATCTTTACTGGAAGATATCATCAGCATTGGAGGGCTGGGTTTAACTGAGATTAGATAACATATTTAAGATTCAATATAGTGTATAGTTATTGTCATATTTTAACTCCTAATGGTTTTAAGTATAGTATTATATTCTCCATTTTATTCTCACAGCAACCACACACAAAATAGATTAGTCTGAGAAATGACAGATTTATCTGGTAAGTTTAATTGAATAGAATTTTAACCAAGGTCATCATGTAAAAGGCAGGGTCCTAATCAAACTGTAGATCACACTGAGGGTGGAGCAAGTTAGCACCCACTCCTCTCTTAGAAAAATGAAATATTTTAGGAAATATTGATAAGGCAGAATATTACATTTCCTGATTGATAAAAGAAGAAACATGTTTTAAAGACAGAAAGCAGTTCGCTACCCCCAGCAGATATTTGGTGCCCATTTAGAAAGACTGGGCCAGCTTATCTACAAGACAAAAGACCTCTAGCTCCAAGACATGACGCTCCAGGACATAATAGGGTTAATCCATCTAGCAGTAGAGCTCACCTGAGCACAATCACCTGGGGACATTGCATCACCCAGCAAACTTCAACCAAACATGTGACTCAAGACAACCTACAAAGTTAGCTATGACTCCTACAACAGCCAATAGAACGCATCTTCTTGCACAAGAACCTGAAGTTCAAGTGCAAAGCCCAATACAAGGTATAAATACCTCTCTCTCAACTCCATGTGTTTAGCTGCACCAAGACCATGTGCTTGGTGGTCCTGTTCACCATTAAATCCTCTTTCCAATCAGCCTCCATGTTTCCAGTGTCTTTCTCCTGGCTTGGAACTGAACCAGATGGATATTTCTATATGGCCAACAGGACATATACCGGTCCTGATTTTTTTCCACATAAACAAATATGTGCTTCAATTGTTAGATTACCTAGACATTATCTGAATATAGATCTTTTTAACATTCATATTTTACTGTGTTTCTAATCAAGGTGAAATGTTAATATATATTGCAAGTCCATGTATGATATGCCTTATGGGTAAATAAATCAATGTAAAAGGAATGTAAGAAGAACATTTTTCATGAACAGATTTTCTTTACCTTTTAACAATACTAAAATCCACATCTCTACTGGAGCTATATGATGGGAGAACTAGAATATGAACCACATGCTAGGAGAAGCATCAGAAAATATAATGATGTCCACCAACGAGGAAGATTTGAAACAGCTGCCAATTGCAATGTTTATATATTGCTTACTCATTTAGAATATGCTGTTACTGAAGAACAGGAGTGCTACTATTTTCATTCCAAGAGGCTCCCCATAGGGCTGTGGTTGACTACTGTGGGAAAGGAATGTTATACCACATGGAACTTTTGTCTCTTTCAGTTGATGATACTAAATCTACCTGAAATAAATAAAATTTCTAAAAAAGCATGGTCAAAATGGAGCACTGTGATAAGACTTCTAGATATGAAACTGCAGATGAACTCAGAAACCAAACAAGGTCAGAGCGAACTAGGACTTGAAAGGGACCTAACTAGCAATCTTAAGAGCTACCCTATCAGGTCCTTTGGGAAATAATACTTTGGAAAACGGCAACATGTATAAATGAAAAATCATGTCTATATGTTGCCAGGAAAACTAAGTGCATGAGTCCATGAATCATTTAGGAACTGAGCTCTCCTGGAAAGAAACATAATCTTTACTTTCTTAGGGTGCCTGTTTTTTTTGGCAGGTTGAGAAACAGCGTGTATTCATGTATTTGCGTCATGCCATGATGTAACTGGATTGGTTTTGGCTTAACGTGTGAATCCAGTCATTTTAAGTTTAATAAGGTAAACTATGTTTAAAGAAGGCTGTGCTTGGCTGTACACGAATCCAGCTATAAAGAACCTAACCCAAAGGCATCAAGCCAGAACCGCAGCCCCCCCCCCCCCCCCCCCCCATCCCAATAGCAGGAATCAGAAGAACGGCAGCAGATATTCAGAGATTTTGCCAGCAGTCAAAACTACGGGGCATCACTTTTGACTAATAACCACACGGATAGTTATTGGGTGGGCCGGCAAAAATGGCCCCAGGCTGGACTAAGTGGTGGGGGGTGTGAAATCCCGGACAGCGGCTGCAGCAGCGCTGGTCCTCACCTAAAAGCGTTCACATTCGGAGTCCTTTTTGCCCCGCCGCGGCCCCTGTAGCTGCTTGTTACCCTGGCGACGGGCTCTGCGCAGCCACTACCAGCAGAGGCGAAGGCGGCTCCTACTCTTTCCGATCTCCGCACGGCGGCTTTGGGCTCCGCGAGTCGTGTGCGGGGGGAGGGGGGGAAAGGAAGGAGTCCGCCCGGAGGGCCCGCTCGTTTTGGCCGCGGAGCGAAAACAAGCTTCCAGGGCCCATGAAGCCGGACCACTACAGCGGGCCCTAAGTGGCCCCATCGCTAAGGCTCTCTCCCTTCGCCTCAGCCCGTCCGGGAACAGATTGGCTCGCAAGTCCCTCCCGCTCGTTGTCCCCTCGCCTTCTCCGGGAGGACAGCGGGCCGTCTTGGGGGCGAAGAGGAGTAGAATATATACATACACAAACAGACACACGCACATACATAGGAGCTGTTCTTAGCACAAACCATCGCAGAGAAACCTCTAGAAGGCTTATCTTCGCGCCACACACCCGATACAACGTCTGTTCTCAATCAGAGATTCTTCCCTAGAAGATTCGTCCCCAGTTTTCTCTTTCCCCGCCAAAGTCCCCATCCTGGGAATCTACGAATAACTCCTC